TTTTAACACATATCCTTTTGTGTCCACTTAATGACTTTGACATGTTATATAATGTAAAACCAGAAGTGTTTGAGGCTGGAAATGTGAGCCTGTGGCTTCATTACCATTGCCTCTGGAAAACAAGAATTATACATGATTTATTGTCTTTTATGCCATTAATTTTATTATCTTCCATGTAAATTTGTTTCCTTTAGAACTTTTTAGGTCCTGTATCAATAGTCTTTCTCTTTTTCTGAAGCTTGACAGTTTAATAAATGCTCAGAATTACACTGTGTAGGGCAGGTTCCTTTCCTAGTTTTTAAATACAGGTGTTCTCTTTTACCCCTGGAACCAGCAGACAAAAACATATTTGTCTGTCTTTGATAATGAGGAACAGACTTCAGCCTGGTATCAAGTACTTAAAAATGTGTCTGTGTCTGAGAACTATTGAGTAAACTCTTTATGTTCAGTTTTAGAACTGAATACAGAATTAAAATAAGCAAAATGTTACAACAGGAAATGTTAAGGAAATCATTACATTCCATTGAAGATTTTGTTTTTAGGTATGAGTCTCTTAGAAAATGGTGTTTGGAGTTATGTACAGGTCAGTAAAAGAGGACTCTGCTACTCATCACTGCTGAAGGCCTCTTCAGATTGGCCTTATTCAAAGCTTGCCTCACTAGGCTTTTAAGATTTTTTGCTTCTTTCCTCATTAGAAATGAGTTTCATAAAACTGTTGAAATGAAGCTTGAATTTTTCCTGGATAGCCCTATTCATATAGTATAATTATTTATGTTTTCATTCTAGTGAGAGATAACTTTAAATCAATTGCCAGATATTAGGTTGTTTTAATTTGATGTCCAAAGGACTTTGTTACAACTACTGTAGTAAAATGACAGTCTATTTTACTTAAAAAATATCCTGAATCTTTCTGAAAAAAATTGAAAATATTAACCTCAATACATAAAATAATTTGTAACTATCAATGGAATATAATCACTAGTTAACATATAATTAAAATAATAAAATTATTTGTAACTATCAATGAAATATAATCACTAGTTAAGATTTTGGTGTATTACATTACTGAAATATAATAAATTCTGTAGGGTTAGGTTCAGTGAGCTAAAAAGTGGTTCCTAGAAAATTGACATTGCTCTCTTTTCTTTTGAAAATTTTTATTTTAAGCATAGGTAAAATTTTCTGAAAACAAATATGTTGTGCACTCATGTACCTAACATAATGACTCTATTTTCCAGCATTAAAATATATTATTAAATGGCCTATTCTCCTTTGGAAAAGTTTTCTTATGATCATTTTTTTTTTTTCTTTCCAGTATTGGGGATTGAACCCAGAGGAGCTCTACCACTGAGCTATATATCCCCAGGCCTTTTTAGTTTTTGAGAATGGATCTTGCTAAGTTGCCCAAGCTGGCCTTAGACTTGTGATTCTCTTACCTTAGCCTCCCATAGCTGGGATTAAAGTTGTATGCTACTGTGGCCTTATGATCAGTTTTTTTTTTTTTAATATTTATTTTTAGTTTTAGTGGACACAATCTTTATTTTATTTTTATGTGGTGCTGAGGATTGAAACCAGTGCCTTATGCATGCCAGGCAAGCACTGTACCACTGAGCCACAACCCTAGTTCCTTATGATCAGGTTTTAATGAGCATTTTAATATTTAGTTATTAAGATTTGGTGAAGTTTGGTAAAGAATATAAATTAGAATGTGCAGTGAAATAAAGTATTAAAGTCTAGTTGTCACCATAATATATAACCTTTTTTTTTTCTGCTTACCACACTTATTTGAGTGCAAAACATGGAAACTTAGGGAATGGAGAACTCCATCACCCCAAGAAAAAGAAATCCTCCCAAACTATTAGTCATATCATTGAAGGAAACTGTAGGTTAACAATTTTTGTGAGTGACTTTCCAGCTATATTTGTTAGTCAAGTGCTGTATAACTGAACTATATCCCAGCCCTGTTTTTACTTTTAAAAGACAAAGTAGAAAATGTTACATTTGTATCTTATTTTATAGTTTAGAAAATACTGTTTTTTTTTGTTTTTTTTTTTTAAATCTACACAAAATCACTGCAAGTTCCATATGGGCAATGATATCTGTAACCTCCTTGTACAGAACTTGGGATCCTAGAGAATATACCTGTGAAAGGCAAAGTTCAGCTCTTTGATGTTGCCAGCTCATTTTGGTGTTATAAAGCTTAGTGTTACCAGCTCATTTAAGCCTTTTGCTCCCCTTGAGATAGAAATCACAGAGACAAGCAATATCATCTGAATGAGGTTTTCTTGGGATTTCTGCTCAAGTACAAGGGAGACAGTGCACAGTTTAGGGTTCCCAGATTGCTTTCTGAGTTTGAGAGGAGCAAAGCTTTTAAGATGTAAAGGGTGGGCTTAGAAAGGCACAGTCTGTTGTTGCAAGTGATTTCAGGATTTCTGCACATCTGCTCTCTGCATTGAGGTTTACACTTGGCATAACATGCTGCACGTGCATGTTGGGTTCCTCTGCATTTTGCTGGCAAAAAAAGATAGAGGTGCTAATCACTGCTACCCCAGGAGGGGGTCATGTTGTGCAAGGTGGAAGGTGACTGTACGGAAAGCTTGCTGGAGGTCAGTAGTTTCTGAATCTGATTGTAGGTGGAAACAGTTTTTTTTTGAAAGCAGTTTGCCAGTTGAGTAGAAAACCTTGGTGAGGGAATCAGGACTCTTCTTTCTTATTAACATTCCTCTTAACCTAACTCTAAACCCAGGACATTTAATTCCAAGTTTTATTGTTTTTGTTTTTATCCATGCTATGCTGCTTTGAAACTTACTAGTTTCTTTTCTTCCAAAACTATATGGGTCTTGATCTATTATACAGAATAATTTTTTAAAAATTGTGGTCAAATACCCAGAAGAATTTTACCATTTTAATTTTTTTTTTCCCTTGCTGGGGATTGAATCCAGGGGTGCTCTACCACTAAACTACATTGCCAGTTCTTTTTTTAAAATTTGAGACTTGTCTTGCTGCTAAGTTGTGCAGGTTGGCCTTGAACTTGAGATCCTCCTGTTGGAGTTAAAAGCATGTGCCACCACACCTGGCTTTTTAAAGCCTTTTCAAGTGTATAATTCAGTGGCAATTATGTATATTCATATTATCATGCAAAAATCGCCACAATCCATCTTCAGAATGTTTATCTTCTACAAATTTATTTTTTCCTTCCAAGTTAGCCTTTCCTATGTATGATGTGCTTTTTGTATGTGTGATGTGAACCTAATTAGTCCATATAAAACCATATATAAAAAACCAGTGCCTCGAACAGTGCCATAGCTGCTGCCTACAAAGGAACAGAAAAGCAGGCTAGGGGAGGTGTAAGTGGGAGGGAATGGTAAACAGGAAGTAGAAGAAATGGGGGATGGAAGAATAGCCTCTTTTATTTATTTAATTTTTTTGGTACCAGGATTGAACCAGGGTGCTTTACACTGAGCCACATCCTCGGCCTTTTATTATTTTGAGATGGTCTTCTAATTTGTTTTACGCCTTGCTAAACTGTTGATGCTGGTCTTGAATTTGTGATTCTCTTGCCTCAGTCTCCTGAGCCTCTGGATTACAGGTGTGCCCCCATGCCCAGCTAGCCCACTTTCTTTTTGTAATTTGTTTTTGGTTTTGTCTATTCCTTGTTCATTTCAAAGTGTTTTTTGAGTGTGTACATGCAAGCCAAGCACATGGTAGAATTTGAATGGTGACCAGATTTCATTTTGATTTTCTGAGTTTGAAGTAACAGTTTTGTAAAGGATTTGAAAGTATAAATTTCCCTTAACTGTGGGGTCTAATCCTTAATAAAAGTATTTTAATTTTGTCTGACAGGATTTGAACTTTTTGAAGAGCTGCCGACACCCAAGTTCAGTTTTGGAGGCAGATCTGGAAACAGTGTAGCAGCATTGGTTTTCCAAAAATCGTGAGACTTTTCCTGGGACAATTTCAGGTAGCTTTTTTAAAGAAGCTACACAGCATAGTAAAAAAAAAAAAAGGTATCATGAGCATGTAGACAACCAACAGTAATTTAAAATCTTTTGTATTTGAAATGTAAATATTTTTCTTTTTGATTTAAAAAAAAAATCCCCTGTAACTCTAAACAGTTAAAAACTTAAAAGTAGTAAATGAATTTACGAAAAGCATGTATTCTTTAGTTTTGTGCCTTGGTAAAGTCGAATTGAATGGAGCTATTTTTGACGATTTGACCAAACCATTCCAGGGCCAGAAAAATAAGCAAAACAACCTTATTAAACTATGAACCATAATAAGAAATACTACTTTGGGTAGAATGGTGGTTATTTTCAAAATTTAACACCTGGGAAAAGATTGGCATTCATATATAGTTAAATAAAATTAGAGAAATCTGCTAGTTGATCAAGAAATATTTATTGAGCCTATATTTTGTAGCTGATGGTATTTTACACTGTGAAGATAAATGGGTAATAGGAGGTAATAAAACTAAGGGATATTATTATATCCTAGCCCTGTGTTAAGTTATATTATTATTATGTCTTTGAATCCTCCCAGTATCTTCTTGGTGTATATTAGGAAACAGAAGCTTATACATGTTGGAACCAGATTCTTACCTGGTTTGACTCTAAAACCCATTTTCTACTTACGTAGTCTACTTCCCAGGGGCCAAATCTCAACCTTTGTAGCATTAACAGGTGATTGGGGAACTAGGATTATTACATATAACATTCCGTGAGAAAAGTCAATCAGTTATTTTTAGGAGCTATGCAGCTCCTTGTTAGTGGTGATTGCTAACAACTTGCTAGTGTACTCTGCATGAAGAGTCAGCCAGCTGAGTCTCATTGTCCTTTATTACTTTTCACCATCTCTTGTCTTGAATGACTTGCCTCTATGGAGGACTGGAGTTTTGTTATTCTGTGAAAGGGTGGTATCAGTTCTATAAGCCCTTAGGGCTATAGAGACAAAGGGGTTCTAGTTAGGGATAATCTAGCAAGAGAATGAGTGTATAGACTGCTTTAAAAAGATAAAGAAGGTTAATACCTAATACCACTTTGTTTTTGAGATAATATTTTAATGTTGGAGTAATAAAGCAAGTTTTTAAAATATAACTTTTGACAAATTTCAGCTTCTTGGGCCTATTGGGTTACAACACTAACAGAATTTTGTTTATTTGGTAAGTGTTCTTATTCTGCTAAGTCTTGTGTTACATCCTTTTCCTTTTTTGGGGGGGCGAGGCAAGATATATCTTTCATTTAGATGAAAATTAACTGTTAAGGTTAATACTTTGCATTTTGGGAAAACTTTATTTTAATATGTAAAAAGTCAGAAATTACTTCAAAATGTAGGCAGTGTAAACTTTTTAAAGATTGTATTGGTTTCAGATCTGAGATCTAAACCATAAAATAGTTGTATAGTTTTTTTGGGGGGTTGTGGGTACTGGAGATTGAACCCAGGGGCGCTTAATCACTGATCCATATCCCCAGCCCTTTTTATTTTTATTTTGAGACAGAGTCTAGCTACATTGCTTAGGGCCTAGCTAAGTTGCCAAGGCTGTCTTTGAATTTGAGATCTCCTGCTTCAGCTTCCCAAGCCCCTGGGATTACAGGCATGCGCCACCCCATCTAGCAGGTGTGTAGTTTTTGAAGTGATTGGTCTTTTTTTTTCTTCCTGCATTAATAGTCTTTCATTTCAAATACAGTAACAATAAGTACTCATTTAGGATTTTGAGTGGTTAAGTATGTGCTACTTTTAAAGCACCGATCCAACAAAATATTTCTGTATAACTACACTGAAACATTGAGTTTGATTTGCTTGGAATGATCTTTGTTTCAGTAGCTCCTTGAGTCACTATGTGAGGTATATTTGTTCCATTTGCAAAGCTGAACCTTTTTTTTTTTTTTTCACTTTTTTGACTCTTGGAGTTGTTGCTAAGCTAGGTAGGAAAAGGGAATTGTCATTTTTCTTATCACTTTAATTATGCTAGACGGCAGCCTCTTTAAGGATTGAAATGAGAACAAATGGAAAGTCCAGAAATGCTAATAAAAAAATTAGTATTTTCAAATAATACAAAGTTGTTAAAAAACCAGGCCATTAAATATCCACAAGTTAATGCAATACACCATAAAAACACTTTAATACTAAACTTAGTATTATTAAACCTTATGAATATATGGGTAACTGTGAATGAAATTATGCTGTTACAAAAAGGAGCAGTAAGTTATGTATTGAATGCTATTTTCTGTGGATAAGAAGTTGGGATTGTAATTTACTTAATCAAAAGACACTTATTTTGAGGAAACTTGTTTGAAATGCAAATGAGATTTTTCTGTGTCTGTGGAGCCTGCACAGAATTTGTTGCTTTTTATGTTATTGCTATATAACAAACCACTTCTGTGTGTAGAAAGTATGTGTGCAAGTTCAAAGGGAATTGAAGTCTGAATGGGCAGGTGCCACCAATTAACAAATAGAAGGTTTTTAGAATATTCTGTATTAAGCCAGGTGCACAAGTTAGAGTTGTTTTTTGGGACAGGCATTTATGTATATGAGAATCAATCATGACACTACTCTTGGCAGCTTGACTAAAGCCATTTTGAAATAAGTACAAACTGTCCTTGATATTTTTCCCACTCATTGTAGCAACATATTTGCCACTGCCTTTGTGATAGGCTTGCAAACTTCTGTTTGAGGGAAGAAGGGAGCTAAACATATACTTTTTACCTCTTTATGAGTCATATGCTTCAATTCACTTTATTTTTGAATTTTTAGTGTTATATAGTACTGCATGTTGAACTCACTCATTCATCTAGAGTATAATAGAAACCTTAATTTTTTTTCCCTACTATTAGAAATTGAACTCAAGGGCCTCGTGCATGCTAGGCAAATGCTCTACCACTGAGCTATATCCTCACCCATTTTTTAAATTTGATTTTGAGTCTTGCCAAGTTGTCCAGACCTTGAACATGGGCTCCTCCTGTCTCAATTTCCCTCTTCCTCAGAAGCTGGGATTGTGCACCACTATGCCCTGTTGGAAACTTGAATTTTTAAGGAACTTACATTAAGTAATTAACTTTTGAATAGCCTTGAAATAATTTTCCTTAAATGGACATGTAACGAAATAGAATATCCCTGCCTATGTTAGTGGTCTTTAATTTTTGTTTTCTTAAGTTATTTTATATGTAGGTGTGTGTGTGTGTGTGTGTGTGTGTGTGTGTCTGTGTGTCTGTCTGTCTGTCTATCTGTCTGTTCTATCTGGTGGCCTACAATGAAAATATGTTCAAATGTGAACATTTGTCTCCATTGTAAGGGACCTGGGTTTTGATTTCCTGTTTTTGGCTCTCTAAGCTAGATTTTATGTGCTCCAGAGATAGCCTTCTGTTTTGAGAGCAAGAGACCAAGTGTCTTGTGTTCCACAGTAGTAACCTCTTCGGCTAATTGTAAGGGTGCATGTGGATAGGCTATGAAAGGAGTCTTGTCTGGTATATTTTACTGGAAGAAGGCTGCCATGATCTAGAGCTTGATTGTGGGAAGCAAAGATCATGTTAGGTTGAAAGACAGTTGCAGTGGGAAAAAATTAGGAAATCATTGTAGTTTCTTTTAGATAGGAAAAAGATGTCCTTAGAAGGGGGAGTGTAGGAGCATGTTTTATTAATAGTTAATGGAAGAAAATGAATGCTAATTTATTCTTCATACATACCATGCAATTTGTTAGAAAACTAAAAGAATAGTTTGAAATTCTTTGGTCAATTGATGGATTCCTATGTTAGGGGCATAGAAATGAAACTCAACATTAAGCAGACAAATACCCAAGCCCACAGGCTACATAAATGCTGAATAAAACCAGCTCTACAATGGAACTCTGAAAAGCTTCGGGTAAGAAGCCTAATGAATGATTGAATATGACCTTAGCAAAATCCCTGGAGTGTTGTTGAAAGATCATTCATTTCCAGCTTAGATGTCAAGATGGTCTCCAGTAACCAGGAAAGGAAAGAAAAAAAAAAAAAAAGAGAGATGAAGTTGGTTCTTACTGGGTTTTAAAATCCTTATAACAGTACATTAGACTAATAATTAAAAGGGCTTTTTTAAAGTTGAATTTTGAACTGTCACTGTGTAGACATGTAGTTTAGGCTCAGTGAAACCAAATTAAAAAGATAGGAATAATACCCAAAATGTGAATATATGAATATCCTGCTTTTATGGAGTAGAACTTCAAAAACTGGATGTACAGACTATAATGTATTTTTGTTATGTTGATACTATTGTAAAAAAGACTGAAACCAAGTGATAGATCATGCCTTAAAACTTTTTTTCGCAAATAACTTGCCTAGGTTATTAGAGGAAGGTATAAAAAGTCAAAGTCTAAGTTTTTCAGAAGCAATTATTGTTTTTTAAAAAATATTTATTTTAGTTTTAGGAGGACACAATATCTTTATTTTTTTATGTGGTGCCAAGGATTGAATCCAGTGCCTTATGCATGCTAGGTGAGCACTCTACCACTTGAGCCACAACCCCAGCCCCATTTTTCTTGTTTTTTGAAGAAACAGTGAATTCTTCCATTTTATATTTTTTAACTGTGTGTTGTTATTACTGCATCAGCAAATGATAAGTATTTTAATGAACAGTCTTTATTGTGCATGCTCTGTGGAAGCTTCTTAAGTGAGTCCATTTGTTCTTTACGTATTTGTTTTTTCAAAATCATAAACATTTACACATGATCCATCAATAAGCATGTCCTGGATAATATCAGAATAGTTTAGAAAGAAACATGAAAATACTTTGGTTGGCAAGGGGACTGTAAACTGTATTTACTACTCTTTATTAAGGTATTTACAGATAAAGCAGTTTATTATCAGGGATGGTAGCAGAATGGAAATGGTGTTGTACCCTGCTGTCACATGCCTTACTACTTCAGAGAGGAGAGACTTGGGAGGAAAAGGCTATATGTAGATGAGTGTGGGTGCTGCCAGTTCACATTCGCCTCCTAACCCTTTTGCTAATGTGAAAATGTCAGGCCTTTGTTCCCATCTAATTTTAGTACATCCTGGCTAAAAAAATGTTAGGATGATTTCCAACTGTGGAACTTTGAGGGGCGGGGTGTGGAGAGGAAGAGTAGAGGAAAGAGCAGTTTATACTCCATATCCGTCTGCCTTTCTGTGACAGCATCTAGCTCCTACTCTGTTGATATTGGTAATGAAATAAATTTAGATGCGCCGAAGCAGTGATAATTAGGTTTTCTTTCTATGTCATTGGTAAGAAGCCTAGTTGGAGTCTGAATGGGGAAAATCATAATATGGTATATAATAAAGCATACTGGGCTGAATTTAAGAGCTGTATGAAAGCTTTAGAAGGAAGGCCTGAGTGAAAACTACATGTTGTGTTATGCAAATAGAATGTTTGAGGTCCATTTGTGTTTCAGTGAAACTGCTTTTATGCTGTTGTTTTGAATGAGAATAATGTTTGTTGATTTTTGAGAAGTGGTCATAAGCAAGTCACACAAGTCTGAGACATTTATCCCCTCTGCAGACCCCAGTGGGTGTAGAGGAAAGCTCTATTCCATGAAGAGAGCTATTTGGGTCAAAAATTGGTAATATATTTTGTTCAAGAGAGAGGCTAGAATTCCACATGGCTTTGTAGTTGGAAATGTCAAGTTTTTTGGTTATTATTTAATTAAAAGGTAATTAATTAAACAGGGCAGTTCTGAGTTTTGGACTTCACTATGATATAAGCTGTCTTTCCCAAAGGTTTGTTCAATTAGTGAGTTGAGGTTTCCTATTGGAATCTCTGTATGATAAAGATGTTTTATAACTAGAAGAGATAATTTATTAAGTTCATCTGACTAATAATTTGCAACAAATAAATTAGATTATTTTCTCAGCTTGGAATTGAGTTGAATTTATTTTATAATTAAAATATGTTAAGTAATAGAATTACTTAATATTACCAAAGGAAATAACTTAATAATATCAAAAGAAATGATTTAAAAAAAATACTAGGAGGGGCTGGGGATGTGGCTCAAGCGGTAGCGCGCTTGCCTAGCATGCGTGCGGCCCGGGTTCGATCCTCAGCAGCACCACATACCAACAAAGATGTTGTGGCCAAGAACTAAGAAAAA